CGTGCGGCGTTTAGAATAAGTTAAGCGTATGCGTGGGATCCTATGCGAATAATATTAAGTTAATGTATGTGTGTGTGTGCGTGATACAAGTTCTTTACTGGATTGTGGCAAAGAACTTGTATATGCGAGCCTATGAGCTAAGTAGAGTCAGAACTCATTTATCCTTCTGATAAATGAGGTTGCATTTGGAGGGTGGAAGGGATTTGGAGTTAGGGTGGGTCGCTATCGTAGCCACCTCCACGTGGTGTGACCTGGTAATTGGTATAGTTCTCTGGAGGCTTTAAAAAATCTTCAGAGAACTATACCGAGCTAAGAGCTACGATTAGAATTTAATTGAGAATTAGAATTTAGAATTTAAGAGCTACGATTGTAATTTTATTTATAATATTGTATATATAGTTGTATAGTTTTATACAGTCATATATATAACTAACCTAACCGGCCTAATGTAATCTAACCCTACCTATACATTCATAGTTTACAGTGCAATTATAAGAATTTTTGAAAAATTATGTAGGATCATTAAGGTGCCCTCATCAGTCACCACTGCGTGTACCGGCTAGGTACGGCAACACTAGTTATAAGATATCGAATTTCAGTACAAAATGGACTGCGTCGGTAACTGTTACTAATTTTAGCTATTCTTCGATAATATCTCCGTCGGTAATATAGAAAATTGGAATGATAAAAATTTTTCGTTCATGACACCAAAAACCATTCTCACAAATATTTTCTTTTGCAAAAAGTTGTTTATTTGCAAAATTTAAACAAAATCGAAACGTGACATTTTTCCGAAGTTTCGCCCATGTTTGGCATCGACAGAAGCATACTACAGTTTGCAGAAATTGTTCACCAGATTTCGCTAACATTGTAATTGTAACACGTGACAATAATTGCACAATCGGCGGTTATATCAGCTGTAGGCACTAGTTATATCATGTAGGAAACTCGGATACGTTTGGTTTTAAATATCTAACTCAAACTAACCTATTTCGCTAAATATAAGGGAGGTACAATGTTGCGCTACATAGTATCTTCCCTTACAAAATTTTGTTGAATGTCATCCAATATTAAGGATTAATATATGAAAAAGGTACGAATTCCAATGTTTACGAAGGAGTCATACTTTAAAACAGACACTTGATTTCTATTTCGAGTATATACGTAATGTGTTAATCATTTATTTATATCACAACTGAGCTGCATTTCTAACTGGCCGGCTACTGTGTACAAATCTGCATTGTTAATCATTTCATCATGTAAGATGTTAGATTAAACTGAAATTGTTAGTTGAAGCAAGTTGATTGTTACATCATGGATGAGATCTGGTTCCATCTATCAAATCAGTTTGAAGCACTTCAGGTAATTGTGTGTCATGGAAGGTCTTTGACTTTTTTTTTTTTGTATTGAACATGTTGATAAGATTTGATATCTATTTATCCCTTGTTCTATTTTTTTTTAACTTCTTTAACGTCAGTATTTATACATTTATTAAGTATGATGTAGTCATGATTGTTTTGTCTGTTTTTTTTATGTTCAATAACATATAATTACACATTTTTTTTTTGGGAAGATTCAGTCGTCATTAGTTGTACAGCAAGGACAACAATGGATCACAGCATGGCTGGCACAAGTACATCAGTTTTTTTACCAGCTCAGCAACAAGCAAAACATGCAAAATGTAACAGATATTATACAACATATATTTACATGGCTTGAAAAGGCCTGGAGACGGCTGCAATTTCAGTATTACAATGTACATTTTAGTGTCACAGAATTTTACAGACAAATAGAATATCTATGTTACAATGAAGGTATTAAAATAATTAAGAAATCATTGATGACAGCAATGTACAGAAATATAATACCTAGTGCATATAAATTTATTTCTATAAAAATGATAAAAATTTACTAAATTTCTATTTGTTGTCTGTACTTTGCTTTCATTGATATGAATGTACATATAGTATCAATATTTGAAATAATATTGATAGCTAAAGGGTAACATTGTAGCATATTTGGTAATAAATCATAATTTTTTTCTAGTGTCAAGAAGAGAACTTGCATTTTGTCTAGCAGGTATTATTGTGGGTGCCTTAATAGGGTACTATTATGGAATTACCTGGGGATATGTATCTCATCATATGCACAATATTAAAGCAATAATATGTCATCATTATATTGGGATTGAGGTATTGTGTAATACAGAATTAATCACTATATATAAAATACACTATATGATTAAAAGTTAATAATTTTGTCATAACTAATTCAGGGAGTGTGTATGATAGATGATGCAGAAATGCCTATGATTCAAAGATCCAATGAATTACTGATACAAGTGAAAGCAGCCTCAGTTAATGTTGTTGATACAAAAATTTGTTATGGTTACTCTAAAATTTATAGGAAACTGCTTAATTCTGGAGTAAGATGTTTTGACATTTATTTTGTCATCATCAATACTAATACTTCATTTAAATGAAACATTTTATTTATTTCTAGAAACACAAGGATCTTCCAGTAGTATTAGGCAGAGATTGTGCAGGAGTAGTAATAGGCATAGGTCAAAGTGTTATTAATTTTGACATTGGTGATGAAGTATTCTTAGCTGTACCTTCGTGGGCTCCAGGTACAATGGCAGAATACATAGTCATACCTGAAACTCAAGTAGTTAAACGGCCGAAACGTTTTACTTTTGAAACGTCCGCAAGCCTTCCTTATAATGGATGCATAGCTTGGGATGCACTAGTTAATCGATCTACAATTCAAGAAGGCAATGCGAAAGGAAAACGGTACAAATAGTTTTATACATAGATACACACTACTATTTATAGGTAAAAAACTAAATTTTATTTTTGTGCAGAGTACTTATATACGGCGGAAATACTCCCGTTGGTTGTATTATAACACAACTAGTTAAGTTATGGGGAGGATATGTAATTACAATATGTAGACCAAACGCAATTCCTGTATCAAAAGCTTTAGGAGCGGATGAAGTTATATCATTAAATGGTTCAGACATTAAAAAGGAGCTAGATCTATATGATAAGTGTGTATAATTCTAAAATCATTTAGCAAAATGTATACCATATTTGCTTTAACTTTAATTAATACTTGTTTCTTCTTTTTTTAGATATGATGCTATTTTTTATACTGGAGGTCAACCAATCGACGAATATATACTAAAACAACAATTGTTACCTCATGGTTCTTATGTATCTACAGTTCCAGAACAGTTGACTTCTGATTCATTAGGTTTTATATTTGGAAGTATATTTGCTGGATGTGTACGAATAAAATTATTAGTACAGGTTAGTACTAGTTGCTTGTTAACTATTAATTAAAATTCTGATTATAATAGCCCTCAAAATTATATACTCAAATTTTAATATATATACATTGTCTATTGTAGTATATGTTTGGATTTAATATACACCAATGGAAAGAAGGTTCAAAAATTAAGACATCATATCTTCAAGCATTATGTGATTTAGCTGATGCTGATCAATTGCAAACAGTTGTAGATAAAGTATACGGGCCTCATTACATTGAACAAGCATTACATCATATATTAGATCCAAATGCTATTGGTAGTACTATAATAACATTTCAGTGACAATTTGTAATTTTGTACGTAGAAGATCTGTTTTCAATCACATGAATATACACACTGTAAATAATGTCAATGCTGCCATAAATCAACGAATATTAAATTAAATTTAATAATCTCGCGCCTCAGAAAAAAATGATTAATACGTTTGGTGCTAAAATCAAGACTGATTAAATGTTGTAATAAAATTTGTAAGTACATATAATTGCACAGTTTGTATTATTCAACATTATCTATTTATATAGATGATTCAAAGCAACTGCAAACTAAAAAATGTACTATAAAACAACAGACAACTACTAGGTGGTATGTTTGTACACATACAAAAGGAAAAATGTTATTAAAATGTATATGATCTATTTTATCAAATAAAAGTACAAACGTTTAAATTCGAGATATAATCATTGTGATAAAGATGTGATTAAGATGGACAGATAACATGAATTATATTACAATAATATTAAGATGAACAGATAACATGAATCATACTTGTACAAATATTATAGATCTGAAGTAATACGAAAATTTATTTTGCTTTTCCACGTGGTTTTCCCCGACCAGCTGTACCTTTTTTAGACTTTTTATTTGCCACAGTCTTTTCTTCTGCCTATATTGCAATCATATGAACATGAACAATTTTGTTAAACATATAACTTTGAAAATAAGTATTAATTGTTCTACTTACTTTACGTTTTGGGCTAGGATTCTGATTTGGTAATACTTTGAAGAATGTATCTAATCTTCCTTGAGTAGAAGTGTGCCGTGCTTTATATAATTTTTTTGCCCCGTTTCGTACTCTTTCCTCACTAAATTGTTTATCACCACATAAAAAGTTCACTAAACCATCTTCATCTGGTTCAGACCATTTGAACTTAAGACATTAAAAAATAAAAACATTCATAAATATATGAACATTCGCTTTAGGAATATTTTGTTATTTTTGCAGATATTCAAATATAAGTTTCGACTACTCTGTACACATAAAATGTACTTTCTTACTTCAATCTCCTCCACATTTGCAACTTCAGGTTCTTGAAACAATAATCGAGCTTGTTTATAATTCCAATCTTCAGGAACTGGGTACTTATTGGTATCTAAGTTCTCTAAAATTTTCTCAAGTGATCTGTGTGTTTTAATCAATTCCATGGCTCTCTTTGGCCCAACTCCTTTAATGCTATTTGTATAATCACAACCCAACATTATGCAAAGATCAATAAACTACAAAACAACAAAAACATGAGCAAAATATATATTAGTAAATAACAAGTAATGAGAATATTAGCATTACATACTTCATCTTGATTCAATCCCAGACCTTCTAATACTTTATCATGGTGGAACTCTTGCACGGGCATTTTTCTTGCTTCACTAAATGTTAATCGTCGAAGCAAAACATTGCATCCAAAAGTGAGTGCATCCATATCTTCTGTAGCTGTTGCAAAAACTTTTCCAGCTTTTACTAAAGCAGCGCACTGCGCTTCAGCTTCACATGGAGCCTAGAAAAAGACATATTACAATACATCTTCAAAACTATAATTTACTTCTTTTACTTACTTCGACATAAGGAATACCCATTAGTTTTAATAACTGCTTAGCTTCATCTGCATGAACTTGTGTAACTTTCACCAATCTTCTGTTAAATTTCTCAATATCCTCTGCATTGCCTGGAAGATATATATTATGTTAATGTCCAATTTAAATATTATAATACATTAGGCAAGATTAATTAAACTAAATACAAAAATAATTACCAGCTTCTTCTGCTGCTTGTAAAAGCTTCTGAGCTTCATCTCTTTTCTCTGCACGTTTAGCTAATTCACCGCCTTTTAAATTTGGTGGTTTTCCATCGAATACGTATATTGGTTTTATTCCCTGTTCTACTAAACGTATTGTACGATAAAACATGCCCATTAAATGGCTGTAATATGAGAGCAACATTGTAAGATATAACATAAAATCATACACTACACATCAAATTGTATACCTTGTTGTTTCTCCATCCACTGTAGCAAGCTGTGCACCCTCACTTCTAACTGCAATCAAAAATTGATACAAGCACATAGACGCATCTATTGCTACTTTACGACCTGAAATAAAACAAAATACTTTTAGTACAATTTGTATAATTGTATTCGGACAATTCAAATCTACGATCGAACGATTGAATTCTTACCAAAATAATGTTTCAATTCCTTTTCTTTGATAGCATGTGGTGCTATATCGGCAATTAATTTCGCTAAACCTAGAATACCCATGATGAACCGTAATCATTCAAGTTCAAAACACTCTTTCAAACAAAACTCAAGTTATAAAGTTGGAAAAATTCGAAAAGCGGGAAACAGAATTCGCACCCATGGACCTATACACAATTATACGCAACTATACATAACTGATCTCGAGTTTTTTTTTCACTAAATGTTGCCCTACACTATAACTAGTGAAAAAATCAGAAAGGGGATGATTCTGAAGCTGAGATGATTCTGAATAACATTTTCCTTTGCAAAAATGTTGGTTGAAGCATTTTGAGTTATTAGCAGAAAACATTGACTAATTGAAAGCTCGTATAAACTGTGTATCCGGCTTTAAAATTTACATATCCACACGCTCTTTCTGAATTTTGTAAGAAGTCGTACATATCGACGATTCAGCAACAATTTCCGCCGTACATATTAGATTTTTTACAGTCTGAAATAATAGAAAGCATTAAATTTGTAATTTAATGAACATTTGTGCAAAAAAGTATAACAGTAGAAAGGTTCTAGGGTCCAAGATCAGCAGGTAAGTAGTTTCATAATTTCGTACCAAGATAAAGCAGATGACGCTTGCTTCCAAATAATAGATCATGTACCCAAAGCAGAGGCATGTTCAGTCTTGTTATGACTGTAGTGACTGACAATGCTATGCGATACGAAACAGAATGTGACGGGAACTGGGAATGGTAAAGGAGCGGAATTTTTACGAGGATAAAGAAAGACATACTTGAAGGCCAATATAAAAGTTTTGACGAAAAGGATTGGACGACAGAATTTAAACTTCAATTACAACCTGGTTTATTCAATTTTGCGTTATGAAAGGTTTGACATTCAGTATGGGCGGACAAAGTACACGGTCTGCTTGATTGAGGCGCTCCGCATATGTGATTCTCATATCACATTTGTTCACATTTTTATTGCAAATAATTAGTTATTAATTAATATCCAACACGAAGTCGGCGGAATACATCATACGCATGAGCTAATTTGAAATAATTAATGACACATTTTCTAAACACAATTTATGCACTTTTATTATAAAAGAATGTTTAGTGATCCCTCAGGTACTTTCTCGTATCATATTGGTTCAGATTTTTAATGAAATTAATTAGTTATTAACTAATAACCTAACAAGGAAACATATCGAACGCGACACACCGATTTTAATGAAACTTATGTGAAAGATAGTTCTCAAAAAAAATATTTGACACGTATTTTTTTTTTATCGGCAATCGTTCACATTGAAGGGGTGAAAATAGCCCTCGAAGTTGGGGGTTGAAACGCCAGCCACGGTGACAAGCGATATATACGAGGTCATTTTGAATAATTAATTACACGTTTTGTGGATATATTTTGTGCACTTTTATGATTGAAGAATGGTCAGCAATGCATTATTTACATGGTTCGATCATAAAAGTTAATAAATAATGTTCGGGTAACGAGTAATTAATTATTTAGTGACAGCATTCCGATACGTGTATGAGCCACCTGTGTCAATTCTACTGCATATATAAAGTGCAATTTTTCGACACTTTGATGGCGTAGTATGGTTCCTAAGGCATTTAGAAATAAATTTCTATTAGGGTTTGATGCGTTTTGATGCCATACGCATGAGCTAATTTGAAATAATTAATGACACATTTTCTAAACACAATTTATGCACTTTTATTATAAAAGAATGTTTAGTGATCCCTCAGGTACTTTCTCGTATCATATTGGTTCAGATTTTTAATGAAATTAATTAGTTATTAACTAATAACCTAACAAGGAAACATATCGAACGCGACACACCGATTTTAATGAAACTTATGTGAAAGATAGTTCTCAATGTAAAAAAATATTTGACACGTTTTTTTTTTTTATCGGCAATCGTTCACATTGAAGGGGTGAAAATAGCCCTCGAAGTTGGGGGTTGAAACCATGTATTTGGGAATATCTCCGGAACGAAAGAAGATAATTGAATTCTTTTTTTTGTAAATTGTTTTTTGTAATTGAAATCAATTAACGGCATATATAGAGATATAAAATGTCAAAAATATTGTGAAAGATTGTAAAAATAATGATATTTTTAATAAAAATGCTGATTTCCCCTCTTCGCAAGAGGTCGTTTTGAATTATATATCTAATAAGCATTGCAACAAACAACAAATTCCAAAAACACGTATCCTCTATTTTTATCCATAGTTTACGTACACGAAGTTGCAAAAAAATAGATCAACATTTAGTGCAAAAATTTAAACAAAAATGAT